TTAATTGCTTGATTATTAAAAAAGTTATGCCGATTCAAAGTTAGTCCGACCCCCATCAAACGAAGTGACATAAATCGGCTGTTCTCTCTCGGACCCCTACGTTTCACGCTAAATAATTGCATAATACACAAATATCGCACCAGAGAGGGTCACAAGTTGCGGTAACATACTCTAACAACATTTTATGACCCAGTGTCATCTGACCAATCAAAAATTTGCTGATTAATATCAGGTTATAACAGAAATTTCTTCAAATCTTAACGTGATTTACTTTTCGTCTGGTATCGGTCTCACATGTCACGTGACTTTCGGTAAAATTTGAGGCACTCGGTGGGGGGAAAATGGAACGTATTTGCACACCGTTAGCGGGGTATTTAATTGTTTCACGTTTGAAGATTATTATTATTATCATCAGCATTATTATTATATTATACCAGTGTCACTCTGTCTGTGTATTCGTGTATGAATTTCCGTTAAAATATAAATTAAAATAACAAAAAACTTAGCTTCTGACGGTCTTTTAAAGTCCATGGTAGATGTACAAATTAGAACGGGATATTATATATTTTTTCCTCCAAATTGATATAAATGCTTGACATATTTTAATAGAAATAAAAGGTATCACTCGATAATTATGATCTGATCTTCTTGACATCTATTATCATGAAAATCATTTACGCACGGCATAGAGATCCAGTTTCTACTGGGGTATACAATAATTCCATACTTTGTCCCAGGTTTATTAGTACTGTGTTCGATTTACTGGCGAACAATTTATTCAAAGCATACACTGATAATATATATCAATATTTTTTTTATTGATTCATAGAGAAATAATCATCCTTAAACAATCTAAAATGGTTTAGAAATTTGTCAGGGACACCGTTCCGCCAGTCATATATACGTTCACATAAAAAAGTTGTCTGTTGTTGTTGTTTTACTTGACATTGTTAGAAAACGAGGTTGAATGTAAAGCAAGCCATTGAATCCGTTCAAAAGTCCATAAACTCAATGTAATATCTATCAGATTAACGGGACAGACAAATTATTTTCACACATTATGGATATTTCAGCAACCATATTTTTAAACAACCCCGTGGTCGTGCGATTTGCCGCTATGCTTAATTGTTTATGTTTTATACATTATGTTACGTACATTGGCCGACAATTTCTTATTTTATAAAAAATGCTCAATAAAAGGTAGACGATATTCATAAAAGATGTACGGTATTTGTACAATACATGAATTACGAGTAGTATGGACCAGTATGGACCGGTAATTCACGGATATATGGAACTACCGATTTCCCTCATTGACGCCTCAACAGGGGGCGGAGCGTTATCGATAATTGACAGGTTACGCGAATAGCAGATAAAAATGGTACAGGTACCGTTTAAAAACGTTTAAAAACACATTTTTGGACTAACTGCTTCCAAAATTAAATCACGAATGTGTTCAGAAATGGTTGATAAATCGACTAAGCAAAAAATCTCATTTTAGGTTTTTTCAGTGATAATTGACTCCGTTGTCACCTTAATGCATTTCACTGACCTATATAAGGACAGAAAAAAGTCAGACCTGAAACTTATATAACCGGGTCGCTGCGTTTTTGCCGGGTCCATCAGGAAGTGAAACAAACATAATTCTAGTTTTGGCCCGAACAGCTTGAAAATTGTGTTCGTATTTGTATATTTGTGCTACGTGATTTACAATCTGTGTTTATAGATGGGACTTTTGATTTAGCCATGAGACATGGTGTAAAAGTGTTTTTCCTCAAAGAGAAATTTGCTTTATGTATTTTAAAGATCATGTATATTATAATGATACAGAGTTTAAAGCAAGATGTAAAAAGTTGGATCATATGTTAGTTGACCCTTTGCAGTTCAGTGTGTCAGAAAAGAACTTAAACGTTCCCTTTTCCCCTGGGTTTGTACTTTCACAGATTCAAGTATGTCATTCAGTAACCCAAATTGTTTTGTGGTCACTAGGTCGAAGGTCAAGATCGCTTTTTATCTAATTTCTATATGTGCATGTAAGTTTTCATTTCCCTGCGGGGTTGTTAAGAGAAAGTAACGATTTCTGTTTTCAATATGAAAAAGGTACAATTTTGCAATCATTCATACTGTTAAAAGTGGATCACTAGGTCTTACTGATTGTATTGATTGTTTCAGATTTACCACAACTGTCCAAGAATAAACTGTCACAACATGCCTGCAACATTTTCAATTTTGCCATTTAGGGGTTCTTTTTATTTTCAAATGATTTATACTCAAAGTGTGAAACAAACAAATCAATATTAACAAGTTTTCCGATATTGTTTTGTGTAAGAAAGCTGTTTACGAACACACATTGTTGACGACAATGTGTGGCTGAAGATTTTTAAAGGCCCACAGAATCATATTTAAAAGTCATATCAGTGGTTTATACATCCAAACTAACACCGAAATTCCCCACCTGAAAAGTATATGAGCCATAAAATGACATTTCCAATTTGACATTTTACATTTTTTCAAAGATTCTCAAAATGCATTCTTTTCTGGCTCACTCAAGACAAATTCTATGAATTTTTGACAATGACAAGTTGCTTTTAACATTATTGAGCATTATTGCATGCCGACGTCGTTTTATTTGTCGTCGTTGACGACGTCATTAAAATTGAAAGGTCTAAATCAGCGTTTTGTTTGACATATACTCCTACATGTTTAACTGTATCTTAGCATGTATAACGCATGCAAAATTTAATATTAAAATTATTGACAAGGAGGTAGCTAATGTTTTATACTTTATTTCACAAACTTTGTTCTAGAGTACCGTATCAATTGTAAGCTATATCAAAGACGGACGGACAAATAGATCTTAACAATTATGATTGTCCTTTTCAAATAATACGCCAAGTAGCGCTAGTATCATTTGCTTTTCTTTATTAGCTCACAATGCACGCAGTATCCGGGTAACGTAAGATTGTCAAAGATTTCTCGTCACCATCGGGAGTTTTCCTCAGTGACAATACCTGCTCTGTTGTGCTAAATCCTTACAACGTTGATTGAAACTATTTCGAAATAACGGTATCATATTTTGACGTAAAAAGACATACATACAAGTCTAGACTAAAAGTGAACCATAATCGAACTGAAAAGACAATTTCACATGTGTTTTTTAAGCGGTATTATGATTATTTGTATAGATAGGTTTCTTCTTATGGCGTTATAGATTTAGTAAACATACCTGTACATTTAGTCTCATATAATTTGCAAACCCAGCATCTACAAATTTTATCTTTTTATCCATGTTCAATAGATGTTCTTGAACATTCGTTTGTTGTTTGTTTTGTGTCTGAAAACGCATGGTGCATCATACTTATAACCGAATTCGGATAATGTGATAGTTTTTATCCACGCCGATGCACTAGGATTAATGCAGTAACAGCGCGTGGCTGTTACCAAGATTATGTCATAAATGAAACCGCGCAAAAAGATTGCGGCAAATCGCCAGGCTTTCATTACATACTCAAAAATGAATGTGCACAAAAACACCTTACCATAATGATGTTTTATCACATTGTTCTGTGATCATACATATATACACGTAGTCAGAAAATATTTATTCTGAATTTTAATAATATTTTCTGACTATTGTCAATTATTTATGGAAAGGATTCATACTTTGACAAAACTAATGTGACAACACAGACCTATTAAAATTATAAAAAAGGAAACATTTGTTCAAACGTTTCTTTGTTTGGTTTTAGAAAAAGAAAAAAGTCGAAGGTGGCCCCCGCCCGGCGGTGGCTCTTGATGCACTTTAGCAATAGTGCCTGAAAGAGATGAAAGTTGAATGGCATTTATATACTCGAGGTGCATGGGTGCAATAAAATTTTCGATGCTCAGATGAATTAATTATCTATGAATGAACTACAAAATTACAGTGTTTGTATGGAATAATGTAAGTACATCCACCCCCATAGGATACTGCTTACCCGTTAATATTCCTGTTTGCTTTCATCATATTAAAGACAAGGGCCTGCTTGTTACTCCCATTCTTTCAAGCTTCTGTGTACATTTAAGCCGTTCAAACTTTTCAAACTATTCCTACTTTATTCATTGTTCAGACTGGCTGCTTGGTTTATAAATGATTTCATTGAAAAAATGCCTCTGTTGTAACATTGATATACAATTACAACACATAAAAGGTCATTTAAACAAAATATTGCAACACCACAATTGAAAAAGTTATTTTTCAATTGACATAGCCCCGTGAATTTGACTAGGTGCTGGATTTACCTTCAAAGTTTCCAACATTGATCAGTTATTTACCAAGATCCACAGTATGTAGGCAATATTCTGTGTTTATAAGCAGTTCAACAGTGTTTAATAAGCCAGAAGTAGTTTATTTATTGAGTTGTTATGATAAATCTCTATGTATACAGTGTAGGGCCTATTCAGCAAAATACACTGGAGGGTGTTTAGTCGCAAAGGGCAAAGTTAAAGCCCTCTAATGTCTTTGCACGGCTTACTGCTATCATCAATTAAGGATGTTCCAATCCAAACATGTTTAAAAAAACAAACTTGTTTTTGCCACTGCTAAGTACTTGAAAGAAGGAAGTGCTGGCACGTTCCTGATCTTACTATAAAGCCAGATACAGTTTTCCTGCAGTCCTCGCGACAGTGTCTCAAGTTTCTATCAAGAAGAGCCATCGTTGAATATCATTTTTTATTCATATTTTTTTTAATTATATATATGGTATTCAGGATAAATCCTCTGAGTTTTTGTCTGAGCAAGAACGTTAATAATATAAGTCCCTGGTCCAACATATGGATTTTATTAAACTCTGTCCACATAAATGATAATTGAGTGGAGTCAAACAAATATTTAAGTATTGCAGGTTTAAGCTCAATATCAAGTTAAAAAGAATTAATATTTATCTAAACTAATGTCTTGAGTCATGTTCCGCCCCTGTACAGTCCGCCGTGTCCTACGACCGAATGTGATAACATTGTAAACATTTTAGACTAAACCTTTAAAAATCCAAGATGGAAGCGAAAGAAAGTATTGCAACACATGGTGTAGAAAAAGACGAAAATGAAAGGGCTAACATGTCAGCAGGTGCCAGTAACACGGGCACTGAAAAGCCAACATGTGTCATTGTTCTTGGCATGGCCGGTTCTGGGAAAACAACTTTCGTTCAGGTGAAAAAAATGATCGATATATTTGTTTACATAAGTTGCAGAAGTTCGGATATGTAATAGTTATCGTTCATGTCTTATTAACGAGGATAGGCAAATGCCTTGGAACATAATAAGTCTATTTATCTCGTATGGAACATAATATACATTTATCAATAATTATATTTATTATATAATTCCCTTTATTTAATGTATCCAAATACTATTTAATTAAAAATTTAAATGTTACTATTTGAACTCGAGGGGAATAATAGAGTTATAGACGGGAATTAGTAACGATTCGCCACACTAACGATTCCCCACATAACGATTCGCCACAGAGTAATAACGATTCGCCACAGTTAAATAACGATTCGCCACAGTATATGATTATAGATCTAACAATGTTTTTTTTTTTTCCTTTTGTTTTAATAATTTGACAATGACTATAATTTAATAATGTTCCTTAATACAAGTAATTAACATGAACCTAAAGCCCCCATCGCGGATTTTCAATTTATCAAAGTAACATAATTACAGGAATACATTTACAAGAAAGTTATATAATTATATGTTGAAATAAATATTGAATTAATCATAAACATAAATGTCAATTAATATTTATATATATATATATATATATTATATATATGTCAAAAATTAATAAAAAAAATATTGCAAAAACATGTGATCATTACGAGAATTGATTTTAAAGAACGCATATCTAAAACATTTGTCACACCTTTAATTTTAACAAGCCAAATCACCTTAAGCTTGTTGTTGAAATATTTAATTGACGCCGAAATAATCCTTTATTATCTGACAATGTGAGCAGATTTCAAAACAATGCGGCAATTAAGCTTTTGTATGTATATTTTGTAATAAAATATGTTAGTTATATAAATAACTTAACTTATCTAAAATGTGTAATGTAATTTTGGTAATAAATTATATTTATTTTCATTTATTCAATTAAAGCCGTTTTCTTTTAATTTTCCAGTTTATATAAATAACGAAGATTAACTTATATTCAATGTGTAATGTAATTTTAAATAAAATATTCATGTGTCTTTATTCAATAAAAGCTGTTTTCATATAATTTTATTACGGTCTCACTAAAAAGCGTCCCGAAGAAATTTAGCGTTTATTTAAATAACGAAGTTTTCTCATCTACAATGTGTGATGTAATTTTGGTGATAAAATATAATATTTATTTTTGAACACGTGGCGAATCGTTATTTAACTGTGGCGAATCGTTATTACTCTGTGTCGAATTGTTATGTGGCGAATCGTTAGTGTGGCGAATCGTTAGTGTGGCGAATCGTTACATTACCATAGACGGAAAGGGACAAATAAAGTTTACCATACATCACAGTGAAGGTGTTTGCTTTGACTGACAAATGATTTGATACAAAAATTAGTGAATAATTAAGTTTAATTGAATTCAATATTTTATGATCTGAAGATACACAATGTAAGCCTGAAATTATCTCAAATAATTGTACTACACATTTAGATATTGTGTTACCTTGTGTATGGGTTATATCTGGTGGGGGGAAAACCCCGGGATCGCCTATAGAAAAGCCGGGACCCAGGATCGTATTAAACATATAGTAATCCCGGGAATTGACCACCTACTCTCAGTGTATTATTATTATGCCCCCATTTCGAAGAAAATGGGGTATATTGCTTTGCACTTGTCGGTCCGTCGGTCTGTCGGTCCGTCGGTCCGTAGACCAAATGGTTTCCGAGTGATAACTAAAGAACCCTTAGGCCTAGGAACTTCAAACTTGGTATGGTGATTGGTCATGACCAGTAGATGACCCCTATTGATTTTTGGGTCAAGGGGTCAAAGGTCAAGGTCACATTGACCTTGTAAGCAAAAACGGTTTCCGATCAATAACTAAAGAACCTTAAGGCCTAGGAACTTCAAACTTAGTATGGTGATTGGTCATGATCAGTAGATGACCCCTATTGATTTTGGGGTCAAGGGGTCAAAGGTCAAGGTCACATTGACCTTGTAAGGAAAAACGGTTTCCGATCAATAACTAAAGAACCTTAAGGCCTAGGAACTTCAAACTTGGTATGGTGATTGGTCATGATCAGTAGATGACCCCTATTGATTTTGAGGTCAAGGGGTCAAAGGTCAAGGTCACATTGACCTTGTAAGGAAAAACGGTTTCCGATCAATAACTAAGGAACTTTAAGGCCTAGGAACTTCAAACTTGGTATGGTGATTGGTCATGATCAGTAGATGACCCCTATTGATTTTGGGGTCAAGGGGTCAAAGGTCAAGGTCACATTGACCTTGTAAGCAAAAACGGTTTCCGATCAATAACTAAAAGAACTTTTAGGCCTAGGAACTTCAAACTTGGTATGGTGATTGGTTATGACCAGCAGATGACCCCTATTGATTTTGGGGTTAAGGGGTCAAAGGTCAAGGTCACATTGACCTCTTGGGTAAAAACGGTTTCCGATCAATAAGAAAAGAACCCTTAGGCCTAGGGACTTCAAACTTGATATGGTGATTGGTCATGATCAGTAGATGACCCCTATTGATTTTGGGTTCAAGGGGTCAAAGGTCAAGGTCACATTGACCTCTTAGGTAAAAACGGTTTCCGATCAATAACTAAAGAACCCTTAGGCCTAGGAACTTCAAACTTGGTATGGTGATTGGTCATGACCAGCAGATGACCCCTATTGATTTTGGGGTTAAGGGGTCAAAGGGCAAGGTCACATTGACCTTGTAGGTAAAAATGCTTTCCAATCAATAACTTAAGAACCCTTAGGCCTAGGAACTTCAAACTTGGTATGGTGATTGGTCATGACCAGCAGATGACCTTTTGATTTTGGGGTCAAAGGTCAAGGTCACATTGACCTTGTAGGTAAAAACGGTTTCCGATCAATTAACTAAAAACGCTTAGGCCTAGGAACTTCAAACTTTGTATGATGATTGGTCATGACCAGCAGATGACCCCTATTGAGTTTTGGGTCAAGGGGTCAAAGGTCAAGGTCACATTGACCTTGTAAGTAAAAAACGGTTTCTGATCAATAACTTAAGAACGCTTAGGCCTAGGAACTTCAAACTTGGCATGGTGATTTGTCATGACCAGCAGATTACCCCTATTGATTTTGGGATCAAGGGGTCAAAGGTCAAGGTCACATTGACCTTGTAAGGAAAAACGGTTTCCGATCAATAACTAAAGAACCTTAAGGCCTAGGAACTTCAAACTTGGTATGGTGATTGGTCATGATCAGTAGATGACCCCTATTGATTTTGAGGTCAAGGGGTCAAAGGTCAAGGTCACATTGACCTTGTAAGGAAAAACGGTTTCCGATCAATAACTAAGGAACTTTAAGGCCTAGGAACTTCAAACTTGGTATGGTGATTGGTCATGATCAGTAGATGACCCCTATTGATTTTGGGGTCAAGGGGTCAAAGGTCAAGGTCACATTGACCTTGTAAGCAAAAACGGTTTCCGATCAATAACTAAAGAACTTTTAGGCCTAGGAACTTCAAACTTGGTATGGTGATTGGTTATGACCAGCAGATGACCCCTATTGATTTTGGGGTTAAGGGGTCAAAGGTCAAGGTCACATTGACCTCTTGGGTAAAAACGGTTTCCGATCAATAAGAAAAGAACCCTTAGGCCTAGGGACTTCAAACTTGATATGGTGATTGGTCATGATCAGTAGATGACCCCTATTGATTTTGGGTTCAAGGGGTCAAAGGTCAAGGTCACATTGACCTCTTAGGTAAAAACGGTTTCCGATCAATAACTAAAGAACCCTTAGGCCTAGGAACTTCAAACTTGGTATGGTGATTGGTCATGACCAGCAGATGACCCCTATTGATATTGGGGTTAAGGGGTCAAAGGGCAAGGTCACATTGACCTTGTAGGTAAAAATGCTTTCCAATCAATAACTTAAGAACCCTTAGGCCTAGGAACTTCAAACTTGGTATGGTGATTGGTCATGACCAGCAGATGACCTTTTGATTTTGGGGTCAAAGGTCAAGGTCACATTGACCTTGTAGGTAAAAACGGTTTCCGATCAATTAACTAAAAACGCTTAGGCCTAGGAACTTCAAACTTTGTATGATGATTGGTCATGACCAGCAGATGACCCCTATTGAGTTTTGGGTCAAGGGGTCAAAGGTCAAGGTCACATTGACCTTGTAAGTAAAAACGGTTTCTGATCAATAACTTAAGAACGCTTAGGCCTAGGAACTTCAAACTTGGCATGGTGATTTGTCATGACCAGCAGATTACCCCTATTGATTTTGGGATCAAGGGGTCAAAGGTCAAGGTCACATTGACATTGTAAGTAAAAACGGTTTCTGATCAATAACTAAAGAACGCTTCGGCCTAGGAACTTCAAACTTGGCATGGTGATTGGTCATGAGCAGCAGATGACCCCTATTGATTTTGGGGTCAAAGGTCAAGGTCACATTGACCTTGTATGTTAAAACGGTTTCCGATCAATAACTAAAGAACCCTTAGGCCTAGGAACTTCAAACTTGGTATGGTGATTGGTCATGACCAGCAGATGACCTATTGATTTTGGGGTCAAGTGGTCAAAGGTCAAGGTCACATTGACCTTGTAGGTAAAAACGGTTTCTGATCAATTAACTAAAAACGCTTAGGCCTAGGAACTTCAAACTTTGTATGATGATTGGTCGTGACCAGCAGATGACCCCTATAGAGTTTTGGGTCAAGGGGTCAAAGGTTAAGGTCATGACCAGTAGATACTTGATAACCCTTATTAATTGTTTGATCACTGGGTCAGAAGTCATGCATAATAACCTTATCATATGACTAATTGGCTGCTGATTGGGGGCATACATGTTTTACAAACATATCTTGTTATTATTATTATTGTTGTTATCATCATCATTTGAATGTTTTGTAGAGATTTCTGAATAAGTTTGATTTGTAGTAGGTATAAAAATCTTAAAAATAATGTTGTTTTTTTTTCACGATTTTCGGGATCGTTTGATCACTGGGTCAGAAGTCATGCATAATAACCTTATCATATGACTAATTGGCTGCTGATTGGGGGCATACATGTTTTACAAACATATCTTGTTATTATTATTATTGTTGTTATCATCATCATTTGAATGTTTTGTAGAGATTTCTGAATAAGTTTGATTTGTAGTAGTTATAAAAATCTTAAAAATAATGTTGTTTTTTTTTCACGATTTTCGGGATCGTATTAAAAAATATAGAGATCCCGGAAATTCAGATAAGCCGGGATCGTATTAAAACATATAAGGATCCCGGGAATTGACCAGTTCAAGAATATAGTTTTCAGAAAAGCGGGCATCGTTTTAAAACATATATAGGATCCCGGGCTTTGACCAATTCAAGAATATAGTCTTTAATTTTTCCAATTAATTTTAATAGGCGTATAATTATAAGTATTGTGATTTCCGCATTTTAAGTTTGTTAATAAATAGCTCTAAATATATTTATATTTTAAGTAAAATAATTTATTATTATTATTATTGTTGTTATCATCATCATTTGAATGTTTTGTAGAGATTTCTGAATAAGTTTGATTTGTAGTAGTTATAAAAATCTTAAAAATAATGTTGTTTTTTTTTCACGATTTTCAAGATCGTATTAAAAAGTATAGAGATCCCGGAAATTCAGATAAGCCGGGATCGTATTAAAACATATAAGGATCCCGGGAATTGACCAGTTCAAGAATATAGTTTTCAGAAAAAAACATATATAGGATCCCGGGATTTGACCAATTCAAGAATATAGTCTTTAATTTTTCCAATTAATTTTAATAGGCGTATAATTATAAGTATTGTGATTTCCGCATTTTAAGTTTGTTAATAAATAGCTCTAAATATATTTATATTTTAAGTAAAATAATTTAAACGTTCATTACATACAATAAAAAATAAAAACTTAACATTTAATCGCCTTTCATTACGACAATATTCAACACAAATATAGTTTATTTGTTTTCCCTCTATATCTAATATTGATTCTGGATCCCCGGCCTCCCGGATCCCGGGATTTTCCCACCACCACAATATCTCCAGCGAGATTCTAGCAAAGAACAAAAATATCTTAGAACATAGATTTGGCTGATACAAGTCAATCAGGCCCTAAGTCAACCCGGCCTCAAGTGAATCCGGCCCCAAATTAGTCAATCCGACCCCAAGTCAATCTGATATCTTGTCAACCCGGCCATATTTTTATTATTAATTATTTGCCACTAAAAATATGCAAATTTTTCTTCATTTACTTATTCTTCTCAAGAAATAATGTGAATAATTATTATTGCAAGACAAAAAAAGATTTATGATATCTAGATGTCATCAAAACTAGTTAATTAATGTGCTTTATTGTTTAATTAACAACTTATTTAAAGAAAAGGTGATGATTTTAAAAAAAATCTTTGAATACATTCTCTTGTGTTGTTTATCTTGATTATTATTTACATTATTTCCTGAATAGGAAAAAAGATAGAAAGATATTAAGAAAAAGTGAAAAATAAGTGCTATAATAATAATATTAAAACGTTTCTCTCTTCTCTCGATTTCGGGTCTATATCTATTTAGGAAAATATATTTTCGAATTTACATCAAATATTAAGACATGAAATAGACCAAGGTTTTTTCACAATTGATGTTTCTTTGTTTATTAAGCTAATTTTTACTATGTCAGTAATAGATGCTAGCGTGAACTCGGCAAATGTGAGTTTTTCCCAGCAGCGGCAGCTAATCTGTAGGTACAAACAATCTTTTACCATTATAGCTTTACAGTGCACTAAGTATCTGTCATAATAGATTAGTCAACCTGATGGGATTATTTTAGAAGCTGTAACTGTAAATTTGTTTGGATCTACAGATTAGCTGGGAAAAACCCAAATGTTCTTAATTCCGGAGTTAGTCTATAATTATGTACAGGATTGTAGCAGTGATTTTTCTCACTTAATTGGGAAGAGGCCTCTTGATGTTGGTGAAAATTATTGCTAAAATTGCTGATTTGGGAAGTAAAAAAGCAGGTTTAAGTTCAGATTTTTGGGAAAACTGCTTGATTTTAAAGAAAATTTTTAATTGGAAAATGCCTTTTATTTGGGTCTGTTATATAAGCAGGAAAATTACTGTGAAGTTATTTTCAATAAATTTTGTTGTATTTTCAGAGAATTGTTGGGCATTTGCATGCAAATAAAACACCTCCCTATGTGATCAATTTAGATCCAGCTGTACATGAAGTACCTTTTCCAGCAAACATTGGTTAGTTTTTATTATAATTTAAAACACTTGAGCCGCGCCATGACAAAACCAACATAATGGCTTTGCGACCAGCATGGATCCAGACCAGCCTGCGCATCCGCTCAGTCTGATCAGGATCCATGCTGTTCGCATACAAACTCTTTAACAAGTAGAGAAACTGATAGCAAACAGCATGGATCCTGATCAGACTGCGCAGATGTCATGACGCGGCTCACTTGATAATTGTTACAGATGTATCTTTTCAAACCTGCATTACAATCTTTTAATGTATATATTATAATAATTGTAACAGTTGCAGTATTCTGGGGACATTCATGGATGTACATGATGTCTACATGTAAACTAAATTTGTGTGTGATTTGATATTGGTGTCATTTCATTCCCTTTCATTACTTAACAAATTATTATTAATATTTGTTGGAACCACTTGCCTCTCACTTTGGAGTCTTTCATGTGAGGAAGCTATCCAACTAGCTTACAGAATGTTGGTGGTTCTATGCAGATGCCCACTTGTGTCTGAAAAAACGCATGGAGGGGCACCTTAGGTCTTCCTCCATCAGTAAAGCAGAAAAGTTGCTGTATGAAGTATTGGTGTGACTTAAAACTCAACAAAACATTGTGTCTGCATAGTGTGCTGTGTGAACACCATTTAAAGGAGCTTTGAAACAAATATTAGTTTGAAAAAAGATATTAACTCTCTACAAGACATAATATTTGGTGTGTATTCTGGTTGTTTTGGTACTGTACAGTATCAATATTTTTGTCTGTCAACAGGGACATAGATAGCATTTGATTGATGCTCTAGAGGCATTCTTTTTTATTTTTTTATTTTATAAATGAGTAAGTATAAGATTTTATATAAGTATTTGTGTTGAAAAGTATAGAAATAAAATATGAGCCACGGCACGACAAAACCAACATAATAGGTTTGAGACCAGCATGGATCCAGACCAGCCTGCGCATCAGAGCAGCCTGATCAGGATCCCAGCTGTTCGCTTACAAACCCTATAACAAGTAGAGAAGCTGATGGGGAACAGCATGGATCCTGATCAGACTGCGCGGATACGCAAGCTGGTCTGGATCCATGCAGGTCGCAAACGCACTATGTTGGTTTTGTCATGACGCGGCTCAAATATAATTTCAGATATAAGGGATACCGTCAACTATAAAGAAGTGATGAAACAGTATCCTTTTGTTAACTAAACACCCAGGGCCATTTTGACATGGATATGTAGATCATATGATGTAAAAAGATAAATTAGATTATAAATTATTCTTCAAATGATGAAATTGTACATAAGTATTACAAACATATTTAAGAAGACATTGTACAAACTAATATAATGTAACAAAAGTAAGAATTTTAATCCATAAAACTGCAGAATTTAATCAATTAATAATTGGCAATTATAATTTATAACATTAATTACAACCAATGTAAGAATGAATTAACTTTAAATTACAAAAATAATCATTTGTCCATTATTTCTTTTATACCTTATCTTGCGTGTAATTCCATTTCTCATCTTTATCAATTTGTTCCCTGTGTCCTAATTACCTCCTCTTGTTAGACATAAAAGTTGCAATTTTACAATTTTGAAAATAAGTATGATTGATGTTTATTTCTCGTTATGTGTTTTTTTTTATCCGGTACACAAAAAATAGCTCTTCTTAGTTACAAATTAAAAGCTTTGGTTACATAAAAAGTCCTTAACCAAGTATAGATATGGCCTTGGTCCGAATGGTGGAATTGTTACATCACTGAATCTGTTTGCTACAAGATTTGATCAAGTCATGCAGTTTGCAGAGAAGAAGACTAAAGATGAATGCAAGTAAGAATTAATCTTAATACTGTTCTAATATTGTTTTGATTTGGTGACTTGGAGACTAAAGGTCATATAAGACATGCCTACGTTCCCGCAAGGGGTTTGACATTAGTTGAAGATAGATGGGTATTTGTTGCTTATTCCAATCCAACTAAATGGAAGTATTGGAATGTGTTTATAATGTTTGATGTGAAAATAGTGAGATATTTTTACAAAGTTAGTTCCTATAATGTAAAGACTTTAAGCATTTTGAGATATCATATTGTTGAAAAGAAAAAAAACTGTGGCTGTGTGAATAAGATTACTGACTTCTAGTCACTGTGTTCCTTATAGTCATGATCTCAAATCGTATTTGTGATCTCTGATTCTTTCATGTTACTGCCAGCTCACTGCAATTATAAGGTTGATTTATTCATATGTTTATTTCTGCCTGAATTATTGCAAGGATGTGGGCCTGAGGCCTTCTTTGGACTTCCAACTGTGAAGCTATTGCAAGGAGGTGGACCTGAGGCCTTCTTCCAACTGTGAAGCTATTGCAAGGAGGTGGACCTGAGGCCTTCTTTGGACTTCCAACTGTGAAGCTATTGCAAGGAGGTGGACCTGAGGCCTTCCTCCAACTGTGAAGCTATTGCAAGGAGGTGGACCTGAGGCCTTCTTCCAACTGTGAAGCTATTGCAAGGAGGTGGACCTGAGGCCTTCTTCCAACTGTGAAGCTATTGCAAGGAGGTGGACCTGAGGCCTTCTTCCAACTGTGAAGCTATTGCAAGGAGGTGGACCTGAGGCCTTCTTCCAACTGTGAAGCTATTGCAAGGAGGTAGACCTGAGCCCTTCTTTCAACTGTGAAGCTGGAAACTCACAATATGACATTTACAGTGTCGATGTTACTTAAAACCCATGGGAAAATATTTAATATAGTACAAATGTAAAAAAATATCTTTGTAATCATGATTGATGATTTTTCACCTGTATTATTTACAGGTACATTATCATAGACACACCTGGACAGATTGAAGTATTTACTTGGTCTGCCTCAGGCTCTATTATTACAGAAGCTTTGGTAAGATTTCTTTTTAACATTTAAATGTTTTATAATACCTGAATTTAAATGTTTTATAATACCTGAATTTAAATGTTTTATAATACCTGAATTTGCTCTGTGTCATAGTGTTAGTTTTTTTTAGAAGTCAGACTTCACAATAAATAGAGCACCACTTTTAAGTGACAACAAAAATCTTTGGTTTTCAAAGAGTGTTGCTCTGCAGAGGTTGTACTGTATTAAAGGGACTCAATTGAGGTTTTAAAGGGACTCAATTGAGGTTTTAAAGGGACTCAACTGAGGTTTTATGACATGCCTGGACTGGAAATAATTTTTTAAGGTTAATGTTCCATTTGATGTAGGTCTTAACAAATTACTTGTGTGCAAAATTTCAAATGAGTTGCTCAGTCCGACTTTCCAGAATGATTATTCAAATGGTGAAAAATGATCCAAAATTGAAAAGGGGTGCATCACTGTTCACTCATTTGGGCAAAAATAGCATGAAAATACAATTTTCAATTTATTCTCATTATATTTCAAAAATATCTTTTGCATATCTCTCTGTTGTAAGTGTCCCAGTTAATCTATGCAAGGAATTCAAATTTTATGTTTTTAGGCTTTGGACCTCAGTGGAGTCCCTTTAACATTAAGAAATTGTGTTAAAAGTTTTCTCTATTACTGTGAATGGCATTGTTAAAATAGCCTCTGTTTTGTATGTTATACTATACATGTACACAAATGCATGTGATAATTAATTGTCATAAAGTCTGTTTTTGTCTTTTAATATTGTACATGTATTTATAAAAATGCTTGTCAATTCACCCTTACCCTAAAGTGGACTTGTCCATCTTTCAATCTTGACAAGACTATTCATCGTTAAATTTTAAATTTAAGGGAAAGTTTCAAAATATGTACTACCTGAATAGTGAACAGTGCAGATTACTGGCCACATAGGTACATTCAGTTACTGCTAGCTCTTATGTTGATAACCTAAGATTTTATCTTTTGTTGATAGCAATGAAATGTATTACATTTATATTTTCAGGCATCGTCTTTTCCAACTGTGGTTGTTTATGTAATGGACACATCCCGCAGTGTGAGCCCGGTCACTTTTATGTCCAACATGACATACGCCTGTAGTATACTGTATAAAACAAAGTTACCTTTCCTTCTAGCAATGAACAAAGTATGTTTGATACAACTTTACCAAAATTATTCATTCTTTATTGAGTGATAAATAGAGGATATTGAATGAGTGTAGTTTAATACTAAATTCATGGAACGGGTTGAATAAAATTATATTATGCGAGCCCCTGGCGAGCATAATATTGTTTTATTCAACGAGTTCAATAAATTTAGTATTGAATCTACACAAATATAATATTCTATTTATCACATACATGTATATAAAATAAGTACAGTAAACTGTTTAAAGAGTAATTTTACAATGACGCGCCTAAAGTGTAACGCTAACATTAGCGTGCTTGAACGCTATTATTCTATATAGCGCAAATGACGTCACGTCAAAGTGTTATTACACTAGTGTTATTTCGTTTTTATTAAATGGCTTTATTACACTTGTGCGCCCTGTTTATGTGATAAAGACCTTTATGGTCAAGTGGTTTTATCATTGACTTTGAATTATATTTTCTTGTATATCAGACTGGCGTTCCCTTAGTTTTATTTATACGTGCTGGAAATTTCATCTGGCAGGGGGGGGTAGCAATGACATAAATTTCCATGGAAAATTGTTTTATTAAGGTTAAGAGTTTAAAATATAATGGAATATGGTAGCATATGCAAGAAAGAAGATCAGACACATGTTTTCAGTTTGAATCGGTATATCCGTCTCTCGGCAACCCTCCCGTGAGCGCGTCCCCTAGGGATGGATATTCCGATTTGAACCGCAACATACCGGTATGACAGATGTTATAAGTCTCTCATTTTGTTATGGTTTCTAACTTCATTCAGGTATTTTTATGATAAGGTTTTTTTTTCTACTATTTAGCTTGCTAACAGTACTTTAAGGAATGTATCCATATGCCTTCCTCAATGTCATTAAAATCATATCTTAACCGTCTCTCTGCTACCTTTCACTATGTCGTAGGGAAGAGTTACGGAACTAAAAATATTGATCTGATTTTAATGAGATTGATGCCTTCTTGTGATGGATGAGCATATGATGTTTTTCTCCACCATAAAATGTGAAAATTGTCAAATGACCTTTACAGGGTCCATGTGAAAGTTGATGAAAATCTACACTTTCAGATATAATTTGTAAAGCAAGTAGTAGTTCTCTGCAACTACTGGCTGGAATTCAAAAAAACTTTATGGGAATCATCAATATCAAGAGAAGATGCGCATATCATCGGCTTGTTCCGGTCAGATACTTTAACTCAGAGTTATTGCCCTTGATTAGTTATGCAGTATGCATATGGAGTAAAAATCGTTTCCGCGCTACTTCTCTGCAACTACTAGCTGGAATTCAACGAAACTTTATGGGAACCTTCAATACCAAGAGGAGATGGGCATGTCGTCGGCTTGTTCGGGTCAGACACTTTAACTCAGAGTTATGGCCCTTGATTAGTTATGCAATATGCATATGGAGTAAAAATCATTTCCGGAGTGGTTCTCTGCAACTACTGGCTGGAATTCAACGAAACTTTATGGGAATCATCAATATCAAGGGGAGATGGGTATATCGTCGGCTTGTTCCAGTCAGACCTTTTAACTCAGAGTTATAACCCTTGAATAGTAATGTAGTATGCATATAGAGTAAAAATCGTTTCCGCACTACTTCTCTGCAACTACTGGCTGGAATTCAACAAAACTTTATGGGAACCTTCAATACCAAGAGGAGATGCGCATATCATTGGCTTGTTCTGGTCAGACACTTTAAATCAGAGTTATGGCCCTTGATTAGTTATGCAGTATCCATATAGAAAAATATTTGTTTCCTCGCTACTTCTCTGCTACCACCGGCTGGAATTCAATGAAACTTTATGGGATACTAAGAGGAGATGTGCATATAGTCGCCTTGTTCCAGTCAGATACTTATAACTCAGATTTATGGCCCTTGATTAGTTATGTAGTATGCATACATCTCATTGGCATTTCCAGATTTTACTATTTAACACAAAGTTATGGCTCTGTTATTTCCCTGAATATTTATCAAGTTCAAAGAATATTACTGTTTATGCCATGATTAATATATAAATAAAGCCTTATGTCTTCAGTTGTTGTGTTAATAATAACCAGTACTCGGCGGGGGATATAAATTCAACGAATTTGCTTGTTGAATACTGAAATATTTTGTGTTTTGTACACTTTGACTTTGAAATAAAATATTTTATTTTATATAAAACTATATAGTTTTAATGTTATTCAATTTGTAGATAGACATAGTAAGTAACCAGTTTGCTGTGGAATGGATGACAGATTTTGAGACGTTCCAGGAGGCTTTAGAGCACGAGACTTCGTACACGTCAAATCTAACTCGGTCAATGAGTCTAGTCTTGGATGAGTTCTATGCTACACTTAAAGTAAATATAACAATTTTCAGTTTAGAATTGAACATGTGTTTAGCTATAACTTAGTTGTAAGTTGTAAGTAACATAAAGTAAAAGATAAGTAAGACTGAATGTCCCCTGCTTTGGCAAATAGCTTTACTGGTAAATACATACAATGCACAACATAAAGGAAGTAAAATTTCATGCTTTTATATAAAAGAAATAATAAATGACTTTAAGTCCGAAATATTTAGTATCACAATGATCTATTTTGTTTGTTTGATTACAAAGCTTCTATGAAAGTTTGGTCAAAATCCCTTAAGAAATGTAGAAGGAGCTGTGCACAGAAAAAATTGTTAATGCCTGCCCGCCCGTCCACCATTCGCCTGCCTACGTACCCCAATCTAATAACCAGTTTTTTCCTTCGGAAAACCTGTGTGGCTTTGTGTGGACAGCATGTAGATTATTTGACCAGCAATTATTGGAAATAAGAAGTATGGTGTTAGATGGTCGTGAATCAAATACAGCTTGAACCCACAATTCCTGGGTTGAGAGGCATATAGCTTAACTACTAGGCTACCTATGCCCTGAGTTGTCCATCAAGTATAGAAATGTTTATTTACAGGGATGCAGTAGATTTACAAAGAAAAATAAAAAAGATGCAGATAGTTATGTTAAGATAAATCTTGTAGATTAATCATATCTAGTATGGCTGGGTCTGTTAAATATATTGTTATCTGATGAAGGAATAATTGTTTTCTGGACAGATTTAGGTTAAGCCACACGAAAAAACAAGAGCTGTCACAGAACATGACAAATGCCCCTGAAGAATTCTAGTTATAAACGGCCTGTTACATGTTAAGTGTGGTGGTAAAAATTGACAAAGTTCGAACCCCAGCAGTGACCTTTAAGTTAGACAAGTTGGTCTTGTTCACAACACATTGTCCATCTATGGTGACATATTTTTAAATTGAAATTGAAACTTTCATGTACATGTATATGGAAGTTACAGAGCGGACACAACAACTACCATTGATATTTATATAACATAAATATTGAAAAAGTTTAAACCCCAGCAGTGACCTTGAACTAAGGCCTAGGAATATGGGTCTTAAGGGCAACACATCATACATTTATGATAATTTCATATTTGAAATAAAAAATATAATACTTTCATGCATATAAGTTTCAGAGCAGACACGACAATCTCTGCCTTTATGTATAATAACATCAAAATTGACAAAGTTTGAACCCCACTGTGACCTTAACCTTAGTCGTAGAAACTGCAAGTCTTGTTCGCGACACACCATACATCTATGGTAAATTCATATGTGAAAGAAAAATTACAATCCTTTCATGCATACCCAAGTTTCAGAGAGGACATTACCATCACCTTCTACATTTATATAACATAAGAAATGACAAAGTTTGAACCCCCACAGTGACCTTGACTTTAGTCGTATGAACCCGAGTCTTGTTCGCGACACACCATACATCTATGGTTATTTCATATGTGAAAAAAAAATTAAAATCCATCCATGCATACTGATGTTTCAGAGCGGACATGACCACCACCTTCTATATTTATATAATATAAAAAAATTTGAACTACCTCAGTGACCTAGACCTTAGTGGAAGAAACCCGAGTCTTGTTTGAGGCACACCATATATCTATAGATTGGTTATTTCTTATATGAAAGAAAAAGTAAAATCCTGTCATGCATACTGAAGTTTCAGAGCTGACACGACCACCAAAGCCAGACAAAGTGACAGACTGACAGACAGACGGACGGTTTGATTTTAATATGCCACCCATTGGGGCATAAAAAGCTTTTAATGTCTTTATTTTAAGGGCCACACAAATGAAAAGCAAGTTTTATGAAATTGTATTTAATGCGTTTTACATACCCTATATAAACTGTATTTTCAGTCAGTTGGTGTGTCTGCGGTTACCGGAGAAGGTGTACAAAAGTTTTTCTCGCTCGTTGACGAGGCTGCTGTGGAATATGAAAAGTAATGTTGAATAATGTTGAAGTACTTTGTTTCCTATAATATACACACTGCTTGACCAAATTGTGTTCTGATAGCTCAGGTTTAGTATTTGGATACTTTAACCTCTAAATCTATGAGAGTGTAAATTCAAATTTAAACCAGGATGAATCAATTTCTTGAATTAAGAAGGATTATCATTATGTTGATAGCCTAGATTAAATTATTAGATAACATATGGCATGTTATTGATGATAACAACATGTATATGCTAACAGTTAGTCCATTTATACATTCAGACCGCACTATATACTATAAGCTGCTTAATTGAACATCAAGCTCCCTAACGAATAAAAGTGGCTGTTGCCAAGATCAAAGCAAGACAAATTCATTATTATTATTATTATTATTATTATATACCACATTTCTATAGCACTCTTTTCATAAATAATAAATGTTCAAGAGTGCTTTACATAAATCCGATAAAACATAATCATATATATATATAAGACATAATGTACAACATTAATTAAGTAAACCTATTAAACAATAATGATAATCTAAAACCAGTAAAGGATGGTAAGAAATACAGACACATTTAGTTTAAAATCAAGGCTCAATTATGCAAATTTAGGGGTAATAAAATAATGGAATCTATATCCATATTGTCATACCTGTTAATTTTTCTCCTTACTTTTTGTTGTAGAGATTATAAACCAATGTTGGAGAGAAAGAAGAAAGAAGTGAAGGAAAAAGATAGAAAGAGAAAGGAGCAGGAATTGAATAAAGTGGTTAAAGATAGAGAAGAGGAATTGATGGAGACTGAAGGTGAAATAAACTCATATCATCTTTTATTTTTAAGCCTCACTTTTAACTAAACTTTTAACTTGCTGGAACTACTGTTTAAGTGGTTAAGTTAGTGACGTGGAAATATTGGTGAATTTCACAAATTGACAAAAATTGCTTAAATTTCCTCTAGCGTTAATATCTACCAACCTGTTATTAAGTTCTACCCTTGCACAATTCTCTAAAATTTCCTCATGCGAAATGTCTGGAATTTTTAATTTGCTTAACTTTTTCAACATGCGCGAATATTCCATTTATGGGGAATTTCCTTGCCCCCCAAACTATCGACCCAAAGAGGGACCTGAAAACCTTCCCTAGTCTATATGAAAAATGTAACTTTCTTTGGTAAATAAAGTGATTTTTATAGTAAATTTATTTTTCCCTTTTTTTGCAACTTTACTTTTTCTTTTTTATTTAATAGAAAAATTTGTCTAAAATACATAAAAAATTCCCATAAAATGCCCACATTTTTTCTTTTTGGGCTTATCTTTTCATAAACCCTTTCTTGTTTTTGGAAAGAAACCGGGTTCCCACGAAAATTTTGGCATCATTTCCGACCAGCGGGTCAAAATACCGGGGTTCTAAAACCTTTGGCTGACCTATTTTTATTATTACTTTACGGGGATTTTTTTAAAATTTAAGTTTTAAATTTTAAAAACCCATTTAAATTTATGAAACATATAAAAATTTTTTTCTTTTAATAAAAGGTATAAAGGATGAAAAAACATCGAAGTGAAAATAAATCGTGGAAAATGGGATAAAGTTTGAAAAACAGGGGGGAAAAGTTTTAGACAAGATAACCCTTTTTGGTATTGAAATTTTCAAAATTATTTGGGCTTTTTTTAAAATTTTTTAAAAGGGGAATGCCAGATAAAATTGGAGAAACCCCAAAATTCCCCAACAAATTTTTCCCTTTCCCTAATTTTTAAAAGCAAAAATATTATTTTTAAAAAAACCCTAGGTTTTGGGGGAGCAACAAATTTTAAAATTTAATTTTTCCTGGGGAAAATTTTTATTGTCCAAGGAAATTACCAATGTAACAGTGCAAATTTTTTTATTTCACTTGGTAATTTGAAAGTACATTTTTAAAAGTAAGAAAAACCCCCTTTGGGCCTTTGGGATTTTAAATATTCCCAAAAAAAAGTGGGGTTAATAACCCAAAATTTTTTAGTTTACATAAATTTTTCCCTGTTGTTTATTTAAGTTTGTAAAAAAAGAACCTTTTAAAATTTAAATTTCCCTTTGGGGAAATTTTAAAAACTACAAAAAGCAGCTATATTTTAAATATTTAAATTTTTTAAAGGGCCAGTTTTTTTTGGGTCCCCTTTCTAAAATTCCCTTTGGGAACTTTCCAGGGGGAAATCTATGAACCCTCCCCAAACCCCCCACCAACCACCCCCAGTTATTGACAGGGGGGGGTTTTAAAAAAAACTTTGTCCCACAACCATTTTGGGGCATAATTCCTATGTAAGACTGGTTTCTTTCATGTGTGAAAGGGTTTTTCGGGGGCTAGCAATGGAATGTAAAGGGGGTTCTACTCAAAAAATTCTTATCCCCTAAAAAGTATGGGGGGGGAAAACCCAAACCCTTCCCAAACCATCATTTAAAGCTAAAATTTTAAAACATTGACCTTTTCCAGTATGAGTGTGACTTAATGCCCAACAAACTTAAAATCCTTCTTTATTTGGTTTATAATTTCAGATGAAGAAGAAGTTAGGGAATATCAGTCATTTAAGAATTATCTGGATAGTCAGAAAACAAGGCAACAACAAAAAGCTGATAAACTAGAACAAGATAATACATGAATTAAAACAGTGTGACATTAACTTTGTGTTATATATTTGTCATACCATACATTGTAAATAAACATGATGTGTCATTTTTGATAACATGTTTTTTAATGACTCGTTCTTTACACAATTCTCTGCATACATGTATGTCCTTTACTTAACAATGGTTGTCTTGTGAGATGCAAGATTTTTATCAACATATTCTATTGGGTAATTTGGTGCATGTCTGTAACTTGAAGTTGATTCAGGGCTTCCGTTAAGTTTGGGAATCATTTACTCCTTCATTTTGGCTTTGTGACTTCCAAAATGTAATGCTTTTCCTTCTTTTTCTTATACATGTATAATGAGACTTCCTATATAAGAGATTTTGAAGTCTGTGACTTCCAAATTTTGGAACTTATGTTGGAGCATTTGTTGTTTTAATGCTGCAAAAGATATCATGTGCCTTGTGTGCATCTAAGGTCTCCCTTCAATGGCAAAACTGGGCAGTTGCCATATGACCTATCACCATTACATACAAAAGACAACAACTACAGCAAAATGTTATGAAAAAAAATGTATAAATGTGTGTAATATGTCTCTTGAGGGTTTTTGATTTGTTTGATAAAAGTTTATCCTGCACTATCCTTATCATTTCAATATTAACATTGTACTATTAATGGGATCTAGTTTGTGACGGAAGTGTAGAAAGGTAAAGTTCAAGGTCTTTTTCCAATTTAAATTCCAACTGTCTTTTGTAACATGTTAGTTTCTTAAAAAATTAAAATGAAAAAATGTTGCCCCATGTTCTCCCATATGTAAAAAAATCAAAATTTAATGAAATGGTAATTTTGCAAAATTTCAAAAAGGGACCGGATCATTTTCCTTTTTTTGGAAAACTGCCCTTAAAAAATTTTGGGGGGAAATAAAGATTAACAATTTAATTAGAAAGCCGACAGTCTTAAAAGCAATGTGCAGGCTTCCCTTTGCTATAAAACTGGGGAAAAATGGGGATAAAACTTTTTAAATTTTTCCGGGGAGAAGGTTTTAAATTTAAAAGTTGGAAAAATTTTAAAACAGTTTTATTTATATATTTTATTGTACAAAAACAGGTAAAATTTTTAATGGCTGATGGTGTTGAAGTTGGCACATCACAGGGTCCATCCTTGACCTTCATAACCATGTTGAAATGACCAATCCTGGAATGAATAATATAAGGTTTTTGCAAAATAGTATGAATTTGAGCATGATCATATGTAAGCTTATAAAGACAGTAGCAATGAGGTAATAGTAGTGTCCTACTTGTATTCAACTGCCGTTATAAATGGTGCCAGCAGCTAATATTTTCTTACTCACCTTCGGAGATTCAATGCTACATAAACCCAAAGAGCTATAGACACGATTGCACAAAAAAGTTTGATTTTTTTTTCTTCAGAAAAAAACCTCTATTATTTGGTGTTTAACCCTGCATTATTTGTAAAGGACAATGCATCAATTTACTTAGAACATGATTTTTTTTAAATAGATAATATCAACCCTAGACAATTTCATTAACCATTAACGCAAGTGCTACATGCAGAACATGTAAATGTACGCTTATGTTTGAAAAAAAAACAACAAAAAACAACAAAAAACCAACTAATTATGATGTTAGATACCAGCAAATTCTTCTCTTGTTTTCCATGTCCATGTGACATTGATTGCCATACGTGTGTCCATCTGTTCCGCATATTGGTGACACAATATCCGGACACTCAAAACCTCCATTACAGTCCAGAAAACGTCTTAGACTACATGACGTCACTAGAATAATTATAAGAATAATTTCCATGATAGATGCGTATTATTTGTTCATATGTTGTTTGAATTAAATAGAAATTCCGTCAAAATTAATTTTAAAGAAAAGAAACAATGTATTATAAGTCCGCATTGTTATATGCCCGAAAAAACTCCTGTGCGCATTATGGTTTATATCCGTCTTTAGACAGGTTTCCGCAGGATAACTTTTGAAGGATTTTCGATTAGTAGTTGTGTTTATATATGACATGCATATATGTTCTGTCAAAACACGGATCAAGCTTGAGTTTTTATTGACAAAGTTATGCCACTTTATATGCAAACAATTTATTGTCATAAAAATAAACTGTTTCCTCGTCAAATTCACATTAATTTTGACGGGAAAATTCATCATTTGTGATATTTTACAATACAAATGTATGTACTCTAGAGGATATTGAATGAGTGTAAGTTCAATACTAAATTTTTTGCCATCGGTCGTATTTTGCCCGCCTCAGCGGTAAGTCCGATACCATATGAGCTCTCTTTTGTTCTGATTGCTATACAGTATGTACCACAAAATATATATGTTTGTAACAATTTTATGTAACATGTTTTTCTTCAGTAAGATTAAAAAAAAGGGAAAACATTTTACATGTATATAAATAGATCCACAGACACTTGGGGTTTGGAGCTCAAAACGTCTTTAAAATCCAAATAAAATTATAAAATGCATATTTGTCAAGCCTAGCACATGTACTGATCATATATATAAAAAAAACTTAATATAAGCCGTTTTGAAAAAAATTCATATTTCAACATCTATAATAATATAATAGATGTTGAAATATGAAATTTTGAGCTCCAAACCCCAAGTGTCTGTGTATAGATCTAGCACAATACTCTAAATGGCGGTGACGAGATTTAACCATGGGTTCAATTTATCGGATGTGGTTTTATGACGTCATATCAATTACATCCTGCTCCGTTGAATGTACACGGAAACAAATTTTATCCCCTTTTTATGATTCCACTCGTTATTCGTTATTCTTTTTGTACTACATGAATTGCTATGATTGCAAGTGGTTTTGCGGACATATACGCACGTATTGATTGACGTTAGACGTTTGTTAAAGAAGTTCAGCCGCGTATTATATAAATAGGGTGAAAAATACACATACCCGTAAGAAACGTAAAGAATATTATCCTCCTGCTTTCATTGTACTGTTATTGAAAATATTTTATGTTGTTCTGTTCTTAAGTATATCCTGTCTAATGATAAAATTAAGGCCATCTGGTTTTATCTTGTTTTTTATATAGATAGGAACTGCGCATCTTTCCTAAAATATGGCTCAATGACGTCAGGTGTAGTCTTGTAGTTAAGTGAGTCACGCTTTAAGAAAAATTATTAAAATTCCGTAATTATGGAAGTGAGTCACGCTTTAAGAAACTTTGATAACATTCCTTAATCATGGAATTCCATTAACGCGTCATACAACAATTCATTTTCGGCATGACTGTTTCTATTTTATATATTCCCGAACACACAGAAACGCGAGCCATTTTGCAGAAAATCTGCTGAACTAAATTTCACGGGATCGCTTTCATGTAAGGAAGTTATCCAGCTAGCTTACGGAACGTCGGTGGTTCTACTCAGGTGCCCGTTCGTGCCTGAAATAATGCATCCATGGAATGGCACCATCCACCAGTAAAGCTGGAACGTCGCCATATGACGTCATATATATATACTGTGTGGGTGTGACGTAAAACCAAAACAAATAAACTAAAACAAATCATTTAAATGAAAATGTAAAAGTTGTTTTTATTTTATCTCCGTTCAAGCTTATTTGAATTAAATAAAGAAATTGTTCTCAATTTGTAAAAAAGTGATGTGAAATATACATATAGTATAGTATAGTTCTGTAAATAGTGTTGATGCTTAAAGTTCTAGAGTGCAAATAATATATGTTATTTTGGTTTTGGAGTGATATAATAATTATGTGGATATATTACCTGTTAAGATTTTATATCACCCGAGCCGTTAGGCGAGGGTGATATTTTATCTTGGCAGGTAATATATCCACATATATCACTCCAAAACCAGAATAATAATTTTATTACCCTTCCCCTGCCGAGTTTAGACGATTTTTTAAAAAATCATTGCTGTTTCAAATGAAACGTCGAAATAAGATTCCCTTTAGAGTACCCCTTCGTCACAACATGACGTCACATAAATACATGACGTGTTTTTCCCGTACCTAATAAATGTAAACAAGAGAAAAGGAGTAGTCTATTAAACGCACTTTTTTGTAATTAATATCAAGCTTTCACAAGGTCATATTTGTTTTCGATACTGATGGTAATATGTATCATTACTCTACTTTTGTAAATATTTATCATTTGACAGTTAAAAAGTGATTTTAAATCGGAATTTACACCCCGTAAAATCGAACCGTACGCGCATCACCTCAGCGCATGTTGTTTACAACGTTGGGTACCCAACGGGGAAATTTAGTGTGTATATTACCCGTCTGGCTCGGTTATATCAATTTCTTTCGGGTGATCAATATCCAATCAAAAAGGCGGAAAAAATCTGGAAGGGTAATAAAATAGTTTATGTCTTTTTATACTAAAATTACAAGGTCAGTTACAACTTGTATATAACATCAAGATCAAAATATGGACAGGGAATATTTTTTTTTTCTAAAAGATTTTTTGCTCTTTATTGATATTTTTGCTTTACTGAATGCGTGCTAAAAACTAAAAAGGCATACTAACCGCTGTACGTAAATGTTTTACATGACATGAGGCTGTAAATTAAATTGATTAAGTGAAAATTATCGACAAAATGCGGTATAAAGACATAAATTAGAAAGATTGCTTGGAACATTTAATGTAATATATTTCATCATTTTCCATAGTAACGGATGTTGCATTTCGCGCATGCGCATTTGCGTTGGGCAAACGCAATGACGAGAGACTACAATTTATCGTACTTGAATGCTTTAGTAAGCTTCGTTACCAAGAAAACAGTAATTTTGGGATAACTTAAAACGGTAAGGACTTTAAACGTGACTTAGTTTTCATTTATGTCAGATTTACGAAAATATATACGAGACTAAGAGTTCAATAATCAAAAAGCGCAAACAAAAGGTTCTGTTTAAGGAAACATTGGAGGACTTTTCCATATTTAGTAATCTAAATTGAAACAACAGGGTCTGAGGTACTATGTGTTATTCCTTTATTATACCGCTCTTAATTACCTTAAAGTTCAACAATGATTAAATCATATTGTTTCAAAGCAAAAAGTACCGTATCATTGAAAGTTTTTCAACAGTTTTGTTTCAGAGATAACAACACGCCTGTGATCAGATGTAGCATTTATGGTAATAAACATAAGCTGAAATCGTAATTCATGTAAACCAAGGATGAAAATTGAACTGTTTATAATTAGCATTACTTAATCCAATACATTTATTTCAGACTAGATTATTGAAATGCATGCCTGATTCTGTACATGTATACATATGGTACGGATGTGTAATTGAAATAAAATGGATTTCTGACACATAATGTGCCTTTGGAGATAATATTATAATATGTGTTATTTTTGTCAACAAGTATATCTTCTACATATTTCAAAATTTTTATTTTCTATCTCTTATTTCATGCTTTGAACGCGCTCTAATGATTGCTGCTTTTTCCACCATTTTTATCAGTAGTTCACAAAGTCATATATGTCACGTCTAGAATTACTCTGAAAGTCGATTTGCACGAAATTCACGCGCTTTTACATTGTCGGTATAAAAGACCATGGACAAATACTGTTTTATATATACTATTCACAATGCAATTTTGTTTTCATGCAACATCATGTTTTTTGACGCAAAGCATGCATTTACTAAAATTGCACAACATATTCTAATAATCTGACGAAATTATAATTTTTGTACAGTCTATGGAAATTGTGTTATTGCGTAATTACTGAGTCTTTCAAATAGAAATGTCCTGGTTATTAATCGCATTTTGAAGGTGAATTCATGCGTTTTTTCACACGAAAGTATTTTTGTAAAATGTCAGTAAAGATAGAATCCTCAATGATTTATAGTGAAATGACGCAACATCATGTTAGGAGAACTAGCATGAATTTGCCTTTGGCATTGCGATGTCGCCGCAAAGCAGCACGACGATGCGATTTAATTTTGGTGGGAATAGTTTTTACTCTAATATAACCGGATCTATTTAATGCAGCAAATACATTCGATTCAATATACATGTATCACATAATTCTTTTGCTGTTGGCAAAGTTGAGATATGTTGATTAGAATACTTTCCTGGTGTATAAATCTCCATACAGCTTTCATCTGTCCAATTCGAATTATCAGATGAGTGAATTTCACTACCGTCAATTTACGTGGTTAAGTCATTTATTATTTTTAGTGGGATGTCGAACGTATAGAGGTACGATACTTTTTTAAGCGAGATGAAAAGGTACGATACGGAGTAATGGAGGATTTTATCATGTTTACACCCGTCAGCGTGGGTATATCTTATAAAATGCTAGAGTCATTTACTATCAAAATCACAAATTTTACGTGGATCATGTGAGGCTCTGACCTACACATATAATCTCGAAATCATAGTAAAAAAGATATTGAATGTAAATTGGCTGTAAATGATTTTGTGTCGGTGACAAAATGATGAGAGTCCATACTGTGACTTCTACTTGTAAGTTCTACTTGTAACTTATCTAAATACTCATTATAGCGTTGCATAGCAAATGCTTTTGTGCAAAGATATTTATTGACGTGTTGTAGTCCAAAAATTAATATGAACGATGAGTTTTGGTACGATAAGATAACTGTACGCTGCAAAAGATTCGAAAATTTTGGCAGTGGTAATTATTACTTAAAACTTTTACCGTCATTAATCTTCTTTAATTGATTTTAAATAGGATCTTGCTGAAAAAATGTTCAATGTTCTCACAGTTTCTTCTTGTGGCTGACGTCATTTACCTTGCTTATACTTAAAAATACTCAAAAATAATTTTGTCACCTTTATTCTAAGAATTAACTTCCCTTTGATGATAAAGGTTAGTTATAAGTTTTTATTCACCCTGTATATTTTCATGTCCTTTCTTTTTTATATCTGAAGTAAATTACTTCAAATTCTATGCAGTTTATCGAAAATACAAAACAGAATTTGAATAGGTAAGGTATTCACTGCGGTATACCGTACCCCGGATATTGCTCGATATTATGAGGACTTTCATCCCATTTCGCGACTTTGAACGAGGAAAGAAGGTAAGTTCAGTGACGATATTTAGTCATTTTGAATTGGTATGATATCAATTTTATAGAAAAACAATTTTTTCTAGTTACTGAAAACCCAAAAATGTTGAGAAATAGCTTTAAAATGTAATTAGGAGGTAAAATTCGTCTCTTTGCTAACGTGATTAATGAGCTCGATCAGTAAAATTTGATGTTTTTGTGCATATACTTCCTTAAAAGAAAAACTTGAATCGAGTGAAATGTGATAATGATGATTATGTTGATGTTGTAAATGTTCAATCAACAATAGAACCTCAGATGACAGTGTATTTTGAGAATAATTACACATGTCAGTGTACCGAGTATTGCATCGGAGTTGCCCGCTGGTGTCACGAGTATTGCTTTTTAGTGTAACGAGTATTGGTTATCAATATAGAGTAAATGCAAGAAGTAAATACAGAGTATTTACCACATTTAATCTTGAATATTTCTTATTGTGTAAACTTATTTCCACTATATGTGCAGAATATACAAAGTTCGGAGGTACTTTACTGGAAACATCTGCGAATAATCCAAATTTTCATTCCTGCTCATGAAAAATCTCAGTCGAACGAACTCAGCAATTTTCTGTGTTTACAAAGTTCTTGTTGCTATCGAAGGATCAACCTTTCCAGAATTTGTTAGTAATTATTGCATATCTTACTTTAAATAGTAAAAAATGCATCCAAAGTGCATTAGTGCTGCCTATTAGGCGGTTTTGAGCAAGTGTGCCAATATCTAATAATAAACGACTTCCTACTATGCCAAAAATCCATATTAAGGTAACTTTCGGTCATTTTGCACCTGCAGTTTAGCAACGGCAGACCGTCTGCACGTGAAATTTGTAAGGTCATTGGCAATGAGTTACCGTATGACTGCCGTATGACAGCTCAAAAAACCGAATAATGGATTTTGATAAGATTATGATATAGTGC